GCAAAGGGTGAGTGTGGGAGGGACAGAGTAAAAGGGAATTCTAATTACAAGGCTTGTCATCGGTTGCGTTGTGACAGTTTCTCATTGCCTGGGCTGTTGCCAGGGCAGGAAGAAGTCTTCCTGGTCCTGAGGCAGTAAGGGACTAGCTACAGGTGTGCAGACTTGCAAAGTCTGTTCTCCTGCTGGGTCTGCAATTGAGGAGCGGTGGGCTCTCATGCCCAGTCTCTAAACTCCATTCAAAATAGATGTCCCTTTAATTAAATATCACATAATATATGTATGTGTTTACATTCCCATAGACCAGGACTCCTTCTGAGAGTGAGACTCAACAATATCATCCGGAGGCCTGAAGGACCATCCTATCTAGAAATCAGACCCAGTGAGATGCAGACCCCAGTTGGATTCTCAGGGCTTTGGACCGTGGTGACATGTGTGCCCTGGACCAGCAGGTGGCGCTGTGGGACGGCCTTGTACCAAAAAAGCGGCTCCTTAGTGAGAACCAAAGAAGTCTGGGCCTGAGGGCTGGGTCCTGTGCACCGTGATGAGACTCAGCAGCTGTGTCCCCTCTGGTCTGGTAGAGTGTCCCGAGGGGACCTGTGTGTGTTCTCAGCAGGTGCTTCCTCCCAGGGCTGAAGCCAACCTCTGCCCTCCTCAGTGTGATGTGAACTGAGTTCCTGCACCAGTTCTCAGGGAAAGTGAGGGGCAAGGACTCACTGGATGGACCCTATTTCATATAGAGCCTCTCATGTGGCAGAGGCTGGAGGAGAAAAGAGGCCTAGGGCAGCCCAGCCCACTGAGGACAGTGGGAACGTGTCACCATGGCCTGGACTCTTGTCTTCCTGGGGATGCTCTTTTACTGCTCAGGTAGAGACAGGCTTCAGGAAAAGCCAGCATCGCCCCTCTTCTTCCGGGTCTAGAGAAAATTTACTTTGCACCTATACAATATCCTCTGAGTGTGTGTGTTTGCAGGCTCCCTGTCCCAGCCCATGTTGACCCAGCCACCTCCCTCTCTGCATCTCTGGGAACAACGGCCAGACTCACCTGCACCCTGAGCAGGGACATCAGTGTTGGCGGCTTTAAATCTACTGGATCCAGCAGCAGCCAGGGAGCCCTCCCCGGGATCTGCTGTACTACTCCTCAGACTCCGATAAGCACCAGGGCTCCGGGGTCCTCAGCCGCTTCTCGGGCTCCAAAGACGCCTCGGCCAATGCAGGGCTTCTGCGCATCTTGGGGCTGCAGGCTGAGGCCGAGGCAGACTCTCACTGGGCTACAGCTCACGGCAGTGGGAGCAGTCACCGCCCCTCACAGCGTCTCAGAGAAGGAGGAAGTGGGTCTAAAACCTCTGGACCCACGGATCTTTTTTCTGAGCCGCTTTTCAGTAAGAAACTTACCTGGAGAGACATAGCGGGGTGGTCTCTTCTGCACAACGATCTATCCTTCAACAGGGAAAGAGGAAGAGTCATGTAATGCATGGAAAGTGACATAAAATGGGGGCATCGGAGGAAGACAGAGACACACATGAGATATCCGAGCCCCACCGCACATCCCCACTCCATCTGGAGAAGATGGACAGGAATGAATTCTGTGTCTACAACCGAACATAATTGCCAGCGAACATTCCTCCACTATCTTTCTATCATATTATTCCATCAAGTGTGACGTTGTGTCACTACTGATGTATCCACAGCTGATCCATTGACAATAACCCTGGTCACAGACACAATCTCCTCTCTCTGGACCAGCTACACGTGAACTTGGACCAGATCCTACAGACTCGCCCTGACAACACGCCCCACACCCTCCTCCCGTTCTCTCTGCTCCCGCGTCCCTCGGGCTTCAGACTCTCCCTCTGGCTCTTCAGTCTGAGCTCTGTCTCCACAGCAGGGTTTCAGAGAAAAGTGGAAATGATCTTGCTGTACTTTCCAGTCTCCAGTGTCCATGTCTCGGCAGGAGAGAGACCAGAAAATACAGCTGCATGCAACCGCCCACATTCTCCTTCCTGCTCTCACCCCAGGCTCCATTTTGTGTGCCCAACACTCCCAGTCAGTCTCTCTATTTTTTTAGAGATTTATTTCTTTATTTTAGAGAGAGAACAATTGGGAAAGGCAGAGGGAGAGGGAGATTGTCTTAAGCCAACTCTGCTCTCAGTGCGGAGGCCTTTGCGGGGCTGGAGCTCAAGACACTGGCATCGCGAACTGAGACAAATGGAGAGTTGGAAGCTGAACCTACTGTGCCCCTCAGGCACCCCTCAGTCAGTCTCATTAATATGAAAGTAAAGTTATTACATTTCGTGAAAAGGATGTATTCATCTACCTTTATTTATTTGCACATGGGATCTGCTGATTAACTGATGCCCCCACCCATGGGGAGTCTTGGAAGAATCCACCGATATGTCATTATTTTTCTTATGCTCCAAATGCTCATTCCTAAGAATATTCTCGACAGGATTTCCACCACAGAAATATTTTTCTATAATTCCTAAAGTACCAGGCTGTAGTGTTTTCTCACACACACAAAACCATCAGCAATATCTTTTTTCACTCCCTGGTAGAACACCAGGGACATGGGGGCCCTTGGGTCCGGCTGGGATGCGGGGCAGGAAGGAGGGGGTTGCATTATCCCCCCAACCCTGTGCTTCCAGGCACCTGACAACCCCACAGCTGTCGGTCTTGTGTCTGCAGAGATTAAAGAAATTGAGAAATATTTTTTTTCCTTAGATTTTATTTTTTTGAAAGAGAGAGACACAGCGAGAGAGGGAACACAGGCAGGGGGAGTGGGAGAGGGAGAAGCAGAATTCCTGCCGAGCAGGGAGCCTGATGCGGGGCTCAATCCCAGGACCCGGAGACCATGACCTGAGCCGAAGGCAGATGCTTAACAACTGAGCTACCCAGGCACCCCGACAGATTTCTTGTTACTCATCAGGACGTGGACTTGTGATTCAGTAAATTGTTAATACTTTTGATCTCACATAGGTCTTTCTGGCCACAATCAATCCTTTTCCAGTAAATATTAGATATCTTTGAGATCCTTACATCTAAAGGCAGGATCAGGACCCTGGGGGTTTATAAAGAGAATCACCATGGAGAAACATCCCTTGGGGGTGAGGGACAGGGGTCCCATAGCTTCATTTTTGGTCCTGGGATGAGGCTGATGCTCAGGAATCCCAGGGGGAGTCTCTGTCCCAGGGCAGCTCAGCCCCCCATCACCTCTGGATTCCAGTCAGGGCCTGAGGCTGATCGGTACTTTGATTCCGGGTCCCCAGGCTCAGTACTGCTCCCTTGGAGCTCAAGGCCCCTGGGGGACATGAGACACACCCTCCCTGTGCTCTCAGTCCCAGGCTGTCCCTCCCTCAGGCACCCCATTGACACCTCCAGCCAGGCTGCACTCTGACGGAAAGTCTTCTGTCCCAACCCAGGGCCACAGGGCCTGTGACCTCAGGGACACTTTCCCCCTTATCTCCACCTTGTCACCACTCACATGTGGGACCTTTGACAGAAACTTCTGGGTCCAGTTGACCCTGGGTAGTAGTCATGGGTGGCTCAATGAATAAAGGTTCCATCTTGAACCTGCTGGACACAGTGCAGGGCCTAGAGCTGTTCTCACCCCAGAGAGCGGTCTGACCTCAAATCCCTTAATCTTGGAAGCTCTATCTGAGTTTGATAATTTTGTCACAAGGATGGTTCTGAGTTCATGGGAACAGGCCCCTCAAGGGGTTTCACTGGGCACCATGTTGACCTTTCCTATCTGGGAGACCAGACACATGGTACCAATAAGTGATTTTAGACAAACACCATAAACCCGTATTCTCCTGAAAACAGAAGGCATTTCTGTACCACTGTTTTCCACCCAGATTCTCCCGCACTAAGCACAGATTTGGGGAAAGTACACTCCTGATTTTACCTCTATCTTCACACTGATATTGTCGTTGAGTTTAAATCAATCTTACTGAATAGAATTACATATAAAATACCACACATTCATCTTAAGTACGAGGTTGGCTCCGTGGTGACTGACACATAAACTCTGTAACTAGGTCCCTGTCAGAGCATCTACAGCTGTCACTCCTTTCTTCCCAGAATTTCCAGCCGATTTGCCCTTTTTGCTCTGAGGTCAGCGACACACGCACTCACGTGGCAGGGCTCCTGCAGACTCGTGTCCTTGCTGGGGGGACAGAGCCGAGGAGGGAATCTCTGGCCAGTGTGTGGACAACTGTTGCTTCAAGCAGGGAGAGAGAGTGACGGGTGACAAAGATGCTCCATGTGTAACCCTCTAGGAATGCACGTGACGGCCTCTACCCACAACCTGGAGAAAAGAGCTCCCCATGGCCTCAGTGCTGTGGCGTGCTGAGAGGAAAGAGAGCTCTGGAAATCAGGGAGAAGGCACATAAGACGAAAGTCCCAGCATCTTCCACATAAGTGACCCTTTGTCCATGGGGACCGATCACTGCTCTGGACTGGATCCTGATCTAGGAGAGTTTGTGTAGAGATACCACCTCAGTCCTGACGCAGGAGCACAGAAGGGAACCATGGACAGACTCATTCTGAAGACTCTTAGCAGGGCCTATAGTGAGTCTTGACTTAGTGGGAGGTGACATATAGGGACATCTGGTCAGGCCTAAATGCAGGGAACAGTGTCAAAACAATTGGAGGGGGGTGTGGACCTGTGTCTTTTGGGCTCTGGCCACCATGTCACTCAATGATGTGTCTGGGTCTCGACAACAGGGGGCACTCTGGTTCCATTTCTGAGGAGTCAGGGGCGATCAGAGCTGGGCCCTGCCACCTGGCCCTGCCTGTGCCCTCTGCTCAGGGCTCACAGCTGGGACCTCCCCACTCCTGGCCCCACACGGCCCCTCCCCTGCCCAACCCCCTGACATGCTGAAGCAGAGGACCTGACCCAGGACCAGGGAGGGGTCAGAGAGCTGGGGTCTCATTTGCATGGCCAGGCCCTCCCTCTCTCAGAGGATGAAGAGGGGAAGGGAGAGATGAGGGGAGGCTCTGCACAGCTGTGGGGCCGAAGAAGGCGGGATCGGAGATGACCTCCACCATGGCCTGGTCCCCGCTCCTCCTCAGCCTCCTCGCTCACTGCACAGGTGACTGGATGCAGGGAAAGTGGAAGGGCCCTTGGAGAACATGTGGGGCCCTCCTTCTTCTTTTTGTCTCTAGACCCCAGCATCACCCACTGTGTGTCTCTCCCCCTTGCAGGGTCCTGGGCCCAGTCTGTGCTGACTCAGCCGCCCTCTGTGTCTGGAGCACTGGGCCAGAAGGTCACCATCTCCTGCACTGGAAGCAGCTCCAACATGGGGTATGTGAGCTGGTACCAACAGCTCCCAGGAAAAGCCCCCAGAACCATCATCTATGGTAATAGCAACCGACCCTCAGGGGTCCCGGATCGATTCTCTGGCTCCAAGTCTGGCAGCTCAGCCACCCTGACCATCACTGGGCTCCAGGCGGAGGACGAGGCTGAATATTACTGTGCATCGGGGGACAGCAGTCTCAGTGCTCACACAGTGCTCCCGGCCTGTGGGGAAGTGAGACAAAAACCTGCTGTCCCTCATCAACATGTCTCCCTGTGCAGCTCCCCCTCCTTGGCCAAGTCAGCTCCTTCCTTTGTTTGGTCTAAACGGTAGTTTGAACTAATCTCAAGGAACATTGGCTACAAAATATTCCAAATTCTCTTAAATTTAGCCCCTCCAGGCTCTCCTTAGCAGGAAGACATTGTTCGGTTTTCTCATATTGAGGAGAAACTCCTGGGTGCCAGGGGCAGGCTGCCTGGGTAACAGAGTCAGCTGATGAGGGAAACAAAGGCAGGAGAAATGTTGCTTAAAGTCAGTCTCCTCCAGCTACAGCCCCTGACAGACACCTGACCCATGCGGAGTGTAACCTTCCTTAAAGACCTCATGGGTGCCTTAGTGCCCCCATGTGTGTGTTTTATTAAAGACTAAAGTATGCTTGTCTTCACAGCGGCTAGCCCCTCGATTCCTGAAAGCCTGGCTTCCAAATTCCTTACAGACTTACACTATCCTTCACCCCCAGTAATTATAAAGTATATAATCAGTCACTCCTCACAGTCCCAGTGAGCTTTCTGCCCATGGGTCCTGTCCCCGGGCTATAGTAAAATCATCTTTTTTCAACATTCAATGTCTCAAGAATTCCTTTTTGACTATTGGGCTACAAAATCCCATATCATGGTGACAGGTCAAGATAGAACCAGAGACAGGGAGTCCACCTGTGTCTGAATGAGGATAGAGCACTGTCCAGAGAGTTTGCATTCACTCCACTTACTGAGCACCTACCATGTTAGTCTAGGGATGTGGGCCATATGTGGACATGACAGGAAGGGTGTGCAGGCTCAGGGAGCTGACACTGTGTGGGGAAGGGAGAGGACACAAGCTAAATATGTTGTCAGGGAAAGCTGTGCTCTGGATAATGAGGAGGGGTGGGGTTGGGGGGTTGGAGCCGGAGCATTGGAGGGGTGCACAGGGAACTCCAGAATCTTCTGTGTCATAATGACATCCATGTTCTGCACAGACAACGAGGGAACTGGAGGGAGCATGTAGGTGGGATGTGGCAGGGGCTGTGGACTCTGTCCCAGTCAGACGAGGAGTTCTGGACAAGGGGTTGATGGGG